TCGGCGCTGCGACCAGATCCGTCGTCTCGCGGTACGTGGGCCCCGCCTTTTCCACCTCCTGCTTCCTTCCCCTCCATCCTTCAACGTCTGCGTACTCCTGACGACTCGCGTTTCTCTTGTACCTCTGGTACTCGTCCACCAGCCTCTTCAGCGCACCAGGCGGCAGCCGAACCAGTTCGTGCAACGGGGCGTGTTGGTGCAAACATTGCACGAAGACATGCACGTGCAGATGAAGACTTCCAGCCGACTTCCGAGCTTCAATGCTGCCGCACACCCCGTCCACTCGGCCCAAGCATCCGCCCATCGCCGTGGCGTTGCTGCCAAGCAAGTCCGCGCAATGGCAATCTGGGCATTTCGGGCAATATCGCATCACCAGTATGTACTCAAATACAAGGCCCACGATGACTCGAAACCCATCAACGCCCGCCAGCGGGTCCCGGGCGAGCACTGCCCTTCTCTCGTCCGACGCGGGCACGGCATCCGCCAACATCGCCAGAGGCACTGCCATGTTCACGTCGTCGTCATCCTGCGCCCCCTTGGTGCCCGGCCCATTTTGGTCCGCCTGCTCGCGCCAGTGTCCTGTCACGTCACCTCCTGATACTTCTGGCGCGTGCGCCAACGGCGGTTCCCACATACCCCCGTACGTGGGTCCGTGCAGTGCCCGCGCAGCACGACGATTCACTGGACCCCTCTTTCGCGAGCGCGACAACCGCACCACTGCCAGGTTGTGCCGCTCGTCCGGGGACATGGTGAAAAATAGCGGCACCCCATGGGCGATTCGAGCCGCATGTGTGTCGTATCTCATGAGTGTCCGCACCTCGTTTGTCCCTTCAATCTTCCGAGCGACCGCGCTGGCCCCTGCAGCCAGGCGTCTCGCTATCGGGTCGAGCGACTGCACATACTTCAGCTTGGAGAAATCTCCACGCACGTTCGTGGACTTCCCAGTGAACGGATCCTTCTATGCACCATATAAAGCATCGACGATGCTCACGGCTGCCGTCTCCAGTTCTCCTTGCGAATACCGGCATTCCGTCTCTCCGTCCTTCATGTAGTCCGCCAAGCGAACGGACCTGGCCATATTCACGGAACTTTGAAACAAAACCGACGACAGCGTGAAGCCGAACCGCCACTCACGCCGGAATTGAAAATCCACCCGACGCGTCATGATGCGCGCCCACAAAGTCAGTTCCACGCGGGGCGCCGCCGGCCCACGTCGGTGTCGTGCATTCTCTTGCCATTCTGGCATGTCTGGCATCCCCGCTCCGTACTTGAAACAGAACGGGAATGCCACGCCGAAAAACCATGGAACCAACTGATTCATCATTGCGCGCCCCGGATACACCACGTACCGAATGTGGGTCGCGTCCGTTTCCAACATCTCCCAGAGCCGAAACTGCAGTGTCGCCATATCAACGTTGGCCGCACGATCTCCCATTCTGCACGTCCTCGCCAGAGCGCGCTCGTCTCTCTCCCCACCGCGCGGACACTCCGGTCTGTCGCACCTGCCTGCCCATGTACTTGCCAAACGCAGTGCGAAGCTTTTCGCTGCCAGGTCCAGTGCACCTGCCTGGACGACCGTCGTCGCGCCTGGTCCTGGGCTCTGGTGCCCTCCAGACGATGCGCCGGACACATGTTCAAATGCACCCTGCCTCAACTTGTTCGCGTCCACCTCGTCCACCGACGACATCCCCATCATTGCGGCATTCGGCGTGCGCAAGTCCATGTCGCGCGCAGCCGCTCCAACAGAATCTCGCGCCCCATCACAAGGCGTCGGGTAAGATTGCGGGGAAGAGGGGCAAGGATGCGAGAGTATCTTTGGGAGGGTTGCCCATCCTTGTTATGCGGGATGGTTGTGCTCCCACGAGGGCAGGGGGGAGACACAAGGAGTAGCGAGCCAGGGCACGAATGGGGGGAAACGCCTCCCCCCAGCTTTCAAATGGGGCGGCCCCGCTGAAGTGTCCGCACTAAGCCGGCCGCTGGACGGAAGCACAGAGACACGCCGTGCCGTCACTCGGACGTCCATTTTCCGCGCATTTTTCTGTATCGTGCGCGATTTTTGTTTGCCCGATGGTCCAGGATGGTCCTCGATGGTTCTCGCCGAGAGAAAATGCACACGTCCTTATGTTGCATCCTCGGGAGACCTTGTCTGTCCCGTCGCGGCCCTGTCCGCGTCGAATCCGTGTCGAATCCATGACGGACGCGTCGGATCCGTGTTGAATCCGCGTCGAATCCGCGTCGAATCCGCGCCAGACCCGCGTCGAGTCCGCATCGAGCCCGCGACGGGCCCCCAAAGACACACCAATGTTGGGGACAGGCGAGGTCCCCCGAAGGTGCAACAGAAACGCTCGAGCGACGCCAAGACGCGGAGGTCTGCTCTGGGCATGCCTTGCTATGCTCTGGCAGCGAAGGCGAGGGCTGGGGGGCGGAGCCACGGCAGGGAGGGGCGGCAGCGGGAGCAGCAGCAGCGGGAGCGGGGCCCCGAGGGCGGAGGCCCGACAGC